TATAACGAGCTCACTGCTAAACAAATTCATTTGAGCTTTGATAAGTGACCCGTTATTTGAATCCCCACATCTCGTGTACAACAGAAGCAGAGCTAAAATTGTCAGCGTCTAGATGACAAGTAATTGGATTGCGACATTCACCCAGATTACATCTTTTGAGCTGCCTCTCCTGACAACCCGTCTGACATCTACGCATACTGTGCCTGTATCCAGCGCGCCCTATTAGAAGGCATAATTTGCCTTGTGCGTCATTAGTAACTTCAAATAAGCTACAGAAAAACGCATATTATTAGTCCCACGTCAAACACGTTCTGAATTGTTCTACTATCGTGTCAACAAAACCAGCATGCGGAAACGTTGTAGCGGTCGAGTACGTCAAGGGTAGAACACACCCAGGGAGAGAAGCACTGGAAAGAGATTCTGGATAACGTTGAGCTGAATAGGGTCGTTAGAAGGCCACTTTACTCATCCGCACATAAAGGAAAAAACGTCAAGTGGGCGGGAAGGTATAGTAGACAACTGTGGAGCAACCTGCCTGGGTGGCGGGGCGATACCGACATATCAACTAGTTAACCGTTAGGGAATGGAACGCTGTGGGCAACTGCAGGGAAGAGCCGAGGGAGATGCTGACGTAGGGCGCGAGAGAGAGAGCGATACGAGCGTCACGGCACGTTGCAGGAAAGGGGGTAGGCGAAGTGAGAGGAAGGGACACAGGCCACTTTCACCAGAACGCGGTTACGCCATCACCATCCTAGGTTCGCGCGCCAAAAAGTGTTTCCTCATTCAGACTACCCTATCGAGGTCGTGGGATGTTACAACGTGCCTGTCCATTATACAACTGCTCAAACCTCTACTGATACATGGAAAATCCAGGCTCTGTTGCGTATTTTTCTTCTATTTTACGCCGTCGTAACGCTGGGCTGGCTGTTCGATGTACGGTCTATCGTTGGCACTGGCTTTGTTCATCCAGCTAACCCTGTCCTGGTGTCAAGCTGGAAATGTCTCAGTTGACTCGTTTCCCTATAAATCGGAACAAGGGATCCTGTCTGTATTAGCTCAAGTCTAAGCCATAAACTAAAATCCCTCACTTTTTCAGGAAAGAGCCTGTTACCCCAGGTGTGACCGTGATGCGGGATATTTCTGTAATTCAATTTCGCATAACGCACAAAACATATGTTAAAATCCATTATGCGGATTTTAAACCAACTATTCTGAATAAGGCAAGAGAGGTCTAGTCGGATTTTTGTAATAATCTTCACCAAATTGACCGCGTATGCCGGCAAAAACAAATGGCGATAACAGGCATAAGTTACAATGAGAATGAGTTGTCATTGTACCTCCAAAAACCGGATGCGCGGTCGTAATGGCGTTTTCTACGTATTGAATTCCGGTGTCATGCTAACATAAGCCCCGGGCTAAATTCCACCTTACCTACTACTTTTCTATTTCTCTTTTCAGTCCCAGTACGTCAATTGTAAGGTGAATAAAGCCCTGTTATAGGGTATTCTCGTTCTGACTCTTACAGTCATATTCGTTCGTCCTCTCCATCTCGTGTGCTTGCTACGGTCCTAACTACTACAATTTATTCATCTTACAATTCCAAAATGGATCGATTCCTTAAGCCAGAACGATTCGATGCCGATCCAAATGCTCAAGACGCTTCTAAAC